TTCAATTTCAGTGCTTGTTATTGGTCTGTTCATATTTTCTATTTCTTCCTGATTCAGTCTTGGCAAGTTGTGCATTTCTAAGAATTTGTCCATTTCTTCCACATTGTCCATTTTATTGGCATAGAGTTGCTTGTAGTAATCTCTCATGATCCTTTGTATTTCTGCAGTGTCAGTTGTTACTTCTCCTTTTTCAACTCTAATTCTATTGATATGAGTCTTTTCCCTTTTTTTCCTGATGAGTCTGGCTAATGGTTTATCAATTTTGTTTATCTTCTCAAAGAACCAGCTTTTAGTTTTATTGATCTTTGCTATCATTTCCTCCATTTCCTTTTCATTTATTTCTGATCCGATCTTTATGATCGGATCTTTATGATCGATCTTTATTTCTGATCCGATCTTTATGTCATAAAGACGTCTTTATGATGTCTTTCCTTCTGCTAACTTTGGGGTTTTTTGTTCTTCTTTCTCTAATAGCTTTAGGTGCTAGGTTAGGTTGTTTATTTGAGATGTTTCCTGTTTCTTAAGGTAGGAATGTATTGCTGTAAACTTCCCTCTTAGTACTGCTTTTGCTGCATCCCATATGTTTTGGGTCGTTGTGTCTCCATTGTTATTTGTTTCTAGGTAATTTTTGATTTCCTCTTTGATTTCTTCAGTGATCTCTTAGTTATTAAGTAGTGTATTGTTTAGCCTCCATGTGTTTGTACTTTTTACAGATCTTTTCCTGTAATTGATATCTAGTCTCATAGCATTGTGGTCGGAAATGATACTTGATACGATTTCAATTTTCTTAAATTTACCAAGGCGTGATTTGTGACCCAAGATATGATCTATCCTGGAGAATCTTCCATAAGCACTTGAAAAAATGTGTATTCTTTTGTTTTGGGATGGAATGTCCTATAAATATCAATTAAGTCCATCTTGTTTAATGTATCATTTAAAGCTTGTGTTTCCTTATTTATTTTCATTTTGGATGACCTGTCCATTGGTGAAAGTGGGGTGTTAAAGTCCCCTACTATGATTGTGTTACTGTCGATTTCCCCTTTTATGGCTGTTAGTATTTGCCTTATGTATTGAGGTGCTCCTATGCTGGGTGCATAAATATTTACAATTGTTATATCTTCTTCTTGGATTGATCCCTTGATCACTATGTAGTGTCCTTCTTTCTCTCTTGTGATAGTCTTTACTTTAAAGTCTATCTTGTCTGATATGAGAATTGCTACTCCAGCTTTCTTTTGATTTCTATTTGCATGGAATATCTTTTTCCATCCCCTCACTTTCAGCGTGTATGTGTCCCTAGGTCTGAAGTGGGTCTCTTGTAGACAGCATATATATGGGTCTTGTTTTTGTATCCATTCAGCCAGTCTGTGTCTTTTGGTGGGAGCCTTTAATCCATTTACATTTAGGTAATTATCAATATGTATGTTCCTATTCCCATTTTCTTAATTGTTTTGGGTTTGTTATTGTAGGTCTTTTCCTTCTCTTGTGTTTCTTGCCTAGAGAAGTTCCTTTAGCCTTTGTTGTAAAGCTGGTTTAGTGGTGCTGAACTCTCTCACCTTTTGCTTGCCTGTAAAGGTTTTAATTTCTCCATCAAATATGAATGAGATCCTTGCTGGGTAGAGTAATCTTGGTTGTAGGTTTTTCTCCTTCATCACTTTAAATATGTCCTGCCACTCCTTCTGGCTTGCAGAGTTTCTGCTGAAAGATCAGCTGTTAACCTTATTGGGATTCCCTTGTGTGTTATTTGTTGTTTTTCCCTTGCTGCTTTTAATATGTTTTCTTTGTATTTAATTTTTGATAGTTTGATTAATATGTGTCTTGGCGTGTTTCTCCTTGGATTTATCCTGTATGGGACTCTCTGTGCTTCCTGGACTTGATTAACTCTTTCCTTTCCCACATTAGGGAAGTTTTCAACTATAAACTCTTCAAATATTTTCTTAGTCCCTTTCTTTTTATCTTCTTCTTCTGGGACCCCTATATGTTGGTGCATTTAATGTTGTCCCAGAGGTCTCTGAGACTGTCCTCCATTCTTTCCATTCTTTTTCTTTATTCTGCTCTGCAGTAGTTATTTCCACTATTTTATCTTCCAGGTCACTTATCCGTTCTTCTGCCTCAGTGATTCTGTTACTTATCCCTTCTAGAGTATTTTTAATTTCATTTATTGTGTTGCTCATTGTTGCTTGTTTCCTCTTTAGTTCTTCTAGGTCCTTGTTAAATGTTTCTTGCATTTTCTCTATTCTGTTTCCAAGATTTTGGATCATCTTTACTATCATTATTCTGAATTCTTTTTCAGGTAGACTGCATATTTCCTCTTCACTTGTTAGGTCTGGTGGGTTTTTACCTTGCTCCTTCATCTGCTGTGTGTTTTTCTGTCTTCTCATTTTGCTTATCTTAGTGTGTCTGGGGTCTCCTTTTTGTAGGCTGCAGGTTTGTAGTTCCTGTTGTTTTTGGTGTCTGTCCTCAGTCACTAAAGTTGGTTCAGTGGGTTGTGTAGGCTTCCTGGTGGAGGGGACTAGTGCCTGTGTTTTGGTGGATGAGGCTGGATCTTGTCTTTCTGGTGGGCAGGTTCACGTCTGGTGGTGTGTTTTGGGATCCTTGGCCTTATTATGATTTTAGGCAGCCTCTCTGCTAATGGGTAGGGTTGTGTTCCTGTCTTGCTAGTTGTTTGGCATAGGGTGTCCAGCACTGTAGCTTCCTGGTCGTTGAGTGAAGCTGGGTCTTGGTGTTGAGATGGAGATCTCTGGGAGATTTTCACCATTTGATATTACATGGAGCTGGGAGGTCTCTTGTGGACCAGTGTCCTGAAGTTGGCTCTCCCACTGCAGAGGCACAGCACTGACTCCTGGCTGGAGCACCAAGAACTGTCCTCCACAAGGCTCAGAATAAAAGGGAGAAAAAGTAGAAAGAAAGAAAGAGGATAAAATAAAGTAAGATAAAATAAAATAAAGTTATTAAAATAAAAAATAAGGGCTTCCCTGGTGGCACAGTGGTTGAGAGTCCGCCTGCCAATGCAGGGGACACGGGTTCATGCCCCGGTCTGGGAAGATCCCACATGCCGCGGAGCAGCCCAGCCGTGCTGCTGATGCTGCGCATCCGGAGCCTGTGCTCCGCAACAGGAGAGGCCACAACAGTGAGAGGCCCGCATATGGCAAAAATAAAATAAAATAAAATAAAATAAAAATAATAGTAATAAATTATTAAGAAACATTTTTTTTAAAGTAAAAAACAACAAAAAATGGACGGACAGAACCCTAGGACAAATGATGAAAGCAAAGCTATACAGACAAAATCTCACACAGAAGCATACACATACACACTCACAAAAAGAGGAAAAGGGGAAAAAATAATATACCTTGCTCTCAAACTCCACCTCCTCAATTTGGGATGATTCATTGTCTCTTCAGGTATTCCACAGATGCAGCATACATCAAGTTGATTGTGGAGATTTAATCCACTGCTCCTGAGGCTGCTGGGAGAAATTTCCCTTTCTCTTCTGTGTTCGCACAGCTCATGGGGTTCAGCTTTGGATTTGGCCCCGCCTCTGCATGTAGGTTGCCTGAGGGTGTCTGTTCTTCGCTCAGACAGGACGGGTGTAAAGGAGCAGCTGATTCAGGGGCTCTGGCTCACTCAGGCGGCGGGGGAGGGAGGGGTATGGATGCGGGGCAAGCCTGCGGTGGCAGAGCCGTGCCGGCGTGACATTGCACCAGCCTGAGGCGCACCGTGCGTTCTCCTGGGGAAGTTGTCCTTGGATCACGGGACCCTGGCAGTGGCGGGCTGCACAGGCTCCCGGGAGGGGAGGTGTGGAGAGTGACCTGTGCTCGCACACAGGCTTCTTGGTGGCAGCAGCAGCGGCCTTAGTGTCTCATGCCCGGCTCTGGGGTCCGCGCTTTTAGCCGCGGCTCGCGCCCGTCTCTGGAGCTCCTTTAAGCAGCGCTCTTAATCCCCTCTCCTCGCGCACCAGGAAACAGAGGGAAGAAAAAGTCTCTTGCCTCTTCGGCAGCTCCAGACCTTTTCCTGGACTCCCTCCTTGCTAGCCGTGGTGCACTAACCCCTGCAGGCTGTGTTCACGCCACCAACCCCAGTCCTCTCCCTGGGATCAGACCAAAGCCCGAGCCTCAGCTCCCAGCCCCGTCCTCCCCGGCGGGGGAGCAGACAAGCCTCTCGGGCTGGTGAGCGCCGGTCGGCGCCGATCCTCTGTGCGGGAATCTCTCCGCTTTGCCCTCCGCACCCCTGTTGCTGCGCTCTCCTCCGCGGCTCCGAAGCTCCCCGCTCCGCCACCCCCGTCTCTGCCCGCGAAGGGGCTTCCTAGTGTGTGGAAACCTTTCCTCCTTCACGGCTCCCTCCCACTGGTGCAGGTCCCGTCCTTATTCTTTTGTCTCTGTTTATTCTTTTTTCTTTTGCCCTACCCAGGTATGTGGGGGAGTTTCTTGCCTTTTGGGAGGTCTGAGGTCTTCTGCCAGCATTCAGTAGGTGTTCTGTAGGAGTTGTTCCACGTGTAGATGTATTTCTGGTGTATCTGTGGGGAGGAAGGTGATCTCCGTTGTCTTACTCTTCCGCCATCTTCCTCCCATCAGGATTTGTTGAATAAACAAATGAATGGCTGACTGAATGGATGCATACATACTAATCCTTTCGTGTTTATACTGGACCTTCAACTTTATGTAAAACAATCATGTGAGCTTTCAATGAATGGTCACAGGTAAGTGTTGGTCACATTTTCCCTTTCCTCAAAGACTATGGGAGACCTTGTAGTAACATATCAGTGACTGAGAGATTAGTCCAGAACTAGACGGACAGCATCATCGTAGGACTTGTAACCCACTCTAAGAACTACATGTCACCTTGGTCACATTATTTATCCTCTCAAGGTTCCTCTATGCAAAATAAGGAAGTTGAAGGAAATGATTGTCAGCATTCCTCCCAGCTGATCCAATGAATCTAAGAATCCAGAATAGACTGTAGCATCTGGAAATAATCTCTAGTCTCAGTTCTTTAAGGTTTGCTTACAATTATTTTTATTATTTTTTTTAATGAACTAATACAAGGTGCCAGGAAACCCTGGGAATGGGGTTATGTATTACATGACCTCTGGGTTGTGTGCTATAAACGTCACAAATAGGCACACCCCCTTCACTATTTATTTCCAGTAAAACAAAAGATAAAAAAATCAGCATCAAGGGATGACACAATACAGCTGAGACCATTAAAAGTAACTACTCCCAAACTGGGCATCATAAAATACATCATGAACTGCAAGCAGATTTACTCAATGAGGGAGAGGCTCATCCCTTTAATTCTCCACGGATGCCATAGGGAATTTCTCAGGGTAGAACATGAAATGAAAAAGAAGTGCCTGGCCAGGAATGCTGTACATTATCCCCCAATGACCTGCCACAGAGACTATTTTTAAAGAAGCATTTATCTCAGCAAGAGTGACAGCATTTAAGAAGTGGCCAGGTCCCAGTGCCAGACAATCCTTCGTGGGAAAAGGCTGCAAGCATGGCTGTACCTTTACAAAGGCCTGAATGATTGATGGGATGGGAATTGCCCTTGGTTGTTTAGGTTGTTGGTATAAAGGAGCCATAAAGATAATGCAGAAGTTAGAACTTAGGAATCAAATGGAGTTTTTTACCCCAAATCGTTGCAGCCATTCCAATGCTCAAAAATTAATCAGGTTTTAGATTTGCAAGATCCATCATAACTAGAAATGCAGACCCTCACTGCCTTGTAAATGAGCAGTAACGGCTCATCGAATTGTATTATCCCATTGAAGAATAATGTTATAAGGGATGTGGTAATCCCAGTTTACACAATTCTGTTTTATGAACCTAGCCAGTGTATTTCATATCACAAGCAAGTATATTACAGCTATATTACATTGGCTCTCTCATTACTGATGTAGCACTGATGTTAGGTAACTCCTGTAAAACACTGAGAGAAACACTAACACACAATGGTATATTTATATATTTGGGGGAATCAGGATGTCAAATCAGAGTTGATGTGTCTTCCTTCCCTGCACAGAAAAGAAACGGCCAGTAAAGAGGTGGGGAACATGAGAAGCAGAGAAAACCTTTTAACCATTAAAATTGATCTCAAATCCAGGGTAGAAATGTATTATAGAATATACTCTTTCCTCCTGTCTACCTTCTTCTACTCCAGAGAATAACCAAAAGATGGCCCGTAGTTATCACGGGACTTGGTGTTTCTCCAAAACAGGAAATACACTCAATGCAGCCATCATTTTCTTTAAATTTTTGAGGTTTCTGGTAGAGAAAGTGTGGCACTTTACAGAATTGAGAGCATCGCAAATCAATTCAAAGAACTAGGTCTTGGTGACTGGTGTTCACCTGGCCTCAGCAAGTTCACCTCTGGTGGCAGGGGGTTTACAGCTCACTGTCCCTTCCATGCAGGACAGTTCTGATGGGTGAAACATTGTTCTTTTTCTATGGAGTCAAGACTTCAGTCTATTAAAGACCTTTGCCAAACAGCTTGTCCTGGGTTCCTCACCCCACCCCCACCCCTACCCCCATTCATGTTTCAAACTGGATCTCAGGAAAGTGTTCTCTTGGAACACTGAAGGTAAACATATGTGACATTCACTACACTCCCTAACTCCCATGCCAATGACTGCTTCAAAAACCCTGAACTGAGACATATCAGGTAGATTTTTCATTGGACCTGACCATTATAACAAATACGGATTGTGTTTTACTGCTAAATTTACACTTTGAAAATCTTTGGCTACACTTTCCCATCCCTCCCTCAATCCCCCATGTGGTACACCGTGTTTTATTCTCGCCTACAAAGAGGGTGCCAGAGGTCACGGAAGACTTCCCATGTTTCTTCTGGGTGAGCAGCAACGTCAAATGCCAGGATGGAAGATGGTGAGCTTGCGTTTCACCAGTGATCTGTGTAAGAAAGGAAAGTAACTCCTCCCCCCACATGAAGAAAAGCGCCTGGATGAAAGGAACTGTACAACGTGAGTTTGCTAAGTGCATCCTCTCGACAGCAAGTTAAACGGCTATAAGAAGTTGTGCTTGCACTTCATTCTATCAGCCCCAATTTCCTGGAAACTCAAACACCAAGTCCTCAAAATATGGCTAAACGCTGGCAAATATTTGCAGATATCATTTCTGCAAATGAAACCCAAAGACAGTTATGTACAAAGTTAGTTTACAGAATACATATCCCATTAAGTTTCTTTGACGAGATCAAAATAGGAATAAATATTATTCTTAAGTTCACCACCTAATCATCATGGGAAACTTAGGACCCTTCGAGGGGGTAAAGTAGATTTCTACAGATATTGCTCACATATTTGGTTTTCTATATCAGAGTATCTTCAATGCTATTGTGCCAATTTTCAAATGGAAACTATGATAAGTAATACTTTAAATGCAAAAATATATGTATCCTGTACTTAAGTATTCATATGATGACTCAACTTCCCTGCCAAGTCAGTTTGTCAGGTCCTTGGGCTCCGAGGAACTTTATGGAGGACATTGAGTGTTTCTCAAATTCATTTTGAAATGAATGAAAAAAGTCCTTGCACCTCACTTTTGGAAATACCCCTTACTTAGTTTGGAGGGCATGATCCCTCCTCCCTCACCTTGGGCTGGGGACCCCATTAGCCAAGCACACAGTTCTGGGACTCTAAGGGAGGACAGCTCAGGACACCCTCAAATCAGTCACCTGAGTTACAAACATATAGACAGCTGAAATGGATGCTAGACTAGGGGTCACAAATTCAACTTCTCCTCCTGTGCTATCCAGGTGTCCGATGGACAGGAAGTGTAGGTGCAGTTAAGTTCCTGAATGAGGTTCTTCCAACATTTCCTTTCCCCATAGGTTGTTCACATCAGGACCTGTTCTCGAGTCTCTGGCAGTCGAAGAGCAATCAGGCCACCCCCAACGAGAGAAGTAGCAGCCAGAAGGATGGGGACCACTTTGGTGATCCCAACAAAAGAAGCAAAGATGGTGTTTCCCAAGATGGCTCCAAATTTGCATAATCCATTGAGGATGCCAAAGGCTGTTGCCCTGTAAAAGAAGAAGAAAGTAAATCATTCTGGGAGAGGAAAATTAGCCCTCCTTAGATATGTGGGACTGGGTTCTTTCTTTCCCTTGTTAAAGAAGTATGGTGAAGGTGTGGGAGGGATTTTTTTTTCCTAAATGTAAAAGTAACACATTCTTATTTTAGAAATTTGAAAGTACAGAAAAACATAAAGATGCAAGAATATATAACTTCACCACTGAAAGTAATCACCATTATTAACATTTTGGAGTATCTCCTTCCCCAACTTGAAAGAATGAAGAAGGATGAAGCAGAAAGTGTAAGTGTTCCCCATTAATAACACTTCGACCCTCTTGTGGCAGAGACTGTTAGTTCTCCCTAAATAGCATTTCTCCAAATGTAAGACTACATTTCCCAGATTCCCTTGTTTCTGAGTCTGGCCATGTGACTAACTTTAGGCCAATAGGATGTAAGTACTCCCAGCAGCTCCTGAGAAACTCCCTTAAGAGATGTCAAGAGTGGTCCTTTTGCTCTCTTCTTTTATCCTTTTTCCTCCCATCCTGCTTCCTGGAATATAAATGGTCTCATCTTGGACCATATCTGAGGTCATGAAAGAGGAAGAAGAAGATAAAAAGAGCCTTCAGTGCCTATCTTCCTAAGTGTGCAGTTATTTGGGGTCTGTGTCACCCATGGCAGAAGCTAATCTTAATTGTTATTAATCACACTTCCCAGTGATAACTACTGTTAACCATCAATCCTTTTCTGACTCCAACTATATACAGAGACAATATTCCCAGCACTAGTCCTCCTCAGATTAAGCAAAATATCTCTATTTCACACCACTAGTTTATGAAGAATATGGCTATATTTTTGTACTTTAAATTCTTTTTACATTTTCTCTATAACTATACTACACTATACCTTTACCCATTTTCACCAGCCCCAATCCCAATCCTTTTGTTTTCTGAATTTTCTTAGATATTTTCACATGTGTATTTTTCCAAATAAACTTTAGGCTAATTTTTTCAAGTTCCCAGAGTGTGGAAAAATCTCATGGAGTTTTGAATGGACTCTTTAAAAACTAAAGAATACTTGACATTTTTGTAAAATTAAACCTTCGTAGAGTTCAGTAAGATATATCTTGACATATAGCTGAGTCTTCTTTTATCTCTCTCAGTAAAGCTTTATGGTTTTCTTCACATAAGTGTTTCACCTTTCTCATCAAATTGATTCCTATATATTTTATGATTTCTTCTATTATTAGATGGATTTCAATTTTAATTTTTTGATATATTTTAAAATCTATAAATTATTAAATTAGTTTCATTATTGACCACCTTACCAAATTATTTTATTGTTTCTGGTAGTCTCTTTAATTCTCTTAGGTTTCCTGGATTTAAAATCACATACCATTGAAATAATGATAACTTTTCCTCCTCTTATTTTTTGTAAAACTTAGAAGTTCTTTGATTCACAGAAAAGGCTCCAAATTCACTATTCTGTGCTTTTCCATAGCTACCTCTATCCCAATACCTCTGTCATCAATCTTGGGAATATCATTAAGATTTGATGCAGAATTGCATTTACCTGCCTTCCACACCACTTCACATTCCTTTCTGGCCAAAGAGCCACTTACCTGCTGTCCTGAAAATCCCCCCTCCAAGAGGAGAAATAACTGCTAAGCAATGGCCTTGACCCTATGCCTTTAAACCAGGCCTCTTCCCATAGGGCATGCACAAAATAAAAGGAAACCCTGGGCATCCCTGCCCCATTCTCCACAAATGCCCTAGACCATCATGTCTCATACCCACCTTTATTTCTGACCCACCCTTTGTTTGTCTAGTTCTGCACCTTTTCACTTCATTTCCCATTGGCAGGCCTGTTCTCACCTCCCTTTGGATTGCACAATACATATGGTTTAGCCCTAGTTCTTCTCTCCTGGACAAGGTTTGCCCTTATCCTTTGCATCTTGCCATCCACCCCACCCTATCAAGCCTTAGCCTTCCCACTCCCGGCCTATGCCAGTCCCCAGGCAGAAGAAACTCAACAATCTAAAAGACATTTGGTCCATGGAACACCAAGAAGACCAAGATGTGGCCATCATCAAAAAGTCTACAAACAATAAATGCTGGAGAGGGTGTGGAGAAAAGGGAACCCTCTTGCACTGTTGGTGGGAATGTAAATTGGTACAGCCACTATGGAGAACAATATGGAGGTTCCTTAAAAAACTAAAAATAGAACTACCATACGACCCAGCAATCCCACTACTGGGCATATACCCTGAGAAAACCATAATTCAAAAAGAGTCATGTACCAAAATGTTCATTGCAGCTCTATTTACAATAGCCAGGACATGGAAGCAACCTAAGTGTCCATCATCGGATGAAAGGATAAAGAAGATGTGGCACATATATACAATGGAATAATTCTCAGCCGTAAAAAGAAATGAAATTGAGTTATTTGTAGTGAGGTGGATGGACCTAGAGTCTGTCATACAGAGTGAAGTAAGAAAGAGAAAAACAAATACCGTATGCTAACACATATATATGGAATCTAAAAAAAAAAAAAGGTTCTGATGCACCTAGGGGCAGGACAGGAATAAAGACACAGATGTAGAGAATGGACTTGAGGATACGGGGAGGGGGAAGGGTAAGCTGGGATGAAGTGAGAGCGTGGCATGGACATATATACACTACCAAGTGTAAAACAGATGGCTAGTGGGAAGCAGCCACATAGCACAGGGAGATCAGCTCAGTGCTTTGCGACCACCTAGAGGGGTGGGATAAGGAGGATGGGAGGGCGACGCAAGAGGGAGGGGATATGGGAACATATGTATATGTATAACTGATTCACTTTGTTATAAAGCAGAAACTAACACACCACTGTAAAGCAATTATACTCCAATAAAGATGTTAAAAAAAAGAAAACAAAAAACACCCTAAATGCAATGTGGTATATTGGGCTGGATCCTGAAACAGAAAAAAAAAAGGACATTAGTGGAAGAACTGGTGAAAACCAAATAAAGTCAGAGTCTAACAATGTACCAATGTCAATCTCTTAGTTTTGACAAATGTACCATAGTTATGTAAGATGCTAATATTAGGGGAAGCTAGGTGAAGTGTATGCAGAAACGTTCTGTATCTTTGGAACCTTTCTGTAAACTTAAAATTATTCCAAAATAAAATGTTTACTTAAAAAAATGGAAAAAAAAAAAAGAAGCCCAAGATGGCCGTGGTGGAGGATCTTGGGGCAGATAGACTTCTGGCCAAAGAAGTCCAAGAAAGTCCCAGAGGGAAGCCCAGAGAGGAACTGACCTCTGGTTGGTGGGATACAGCTCCACCGTGATCACATCCACAGCATTCCAGGCAGCAATGCTTGTCCCACAGAACAGGCACTGCCAGCCAATCATCGCCGACTCACTGTTGCCAAAAAATAGGAAGAAGCAGCAGACAGCCGAGATGAGCATGGAGCCACCTGCAGAGGGAGATCAGGGCAGAGAGAAACATGAAGCCCGTGGCAGACAACACCTGAAAAAACAGACTCAGCTCTACACAGAGAAAGATGTGGACCCCGTACATGGTACCCCAGCCATGGGATTAGAGACTTCTATGTGGGTCATATCACTAGAATTAGCCTCCAGGAAGGATTTCGAAAACCTCACCCTGTGGTGCTGTCCAGCCCAGAATAACTGAGAACAAGGCAGAGGGTGTGGGTATTAGTAGAGAATTTATTATGCTCCAGACATTGTTCTAAGGAGCCCGAGATACATCAGTATCAAAAGACTCTACTCTCATGGAGCTCACGTTCCACTGAGAACACGGCTGCAAACAGGCAACAGAAGAACACCTGATCAAGGGCCATGCTGCTTATTTTCATGTATGCCCATCTCTACCCCAGATATCTGAGCTGCCCTTCTCAGCTCTGCTCTGTGCCCCAGGAAGCTAACCCCCATGGACTGCATACCTGGGGGTTCCCTGTCAGTTGTGAGGAGAAAGGGCTTGGAATACTTCTTCCTAATTCCCATCCTGCTTTATAAGCCCTTTATTGGCAAAGGCTGCTTCCCCCCAGGACGACAGTTCCTCCCGGACACCGCCTGCTCCTTGGTTCCAGCTCTCCCTGGGCTCGGTTACTGCCGTTTTCTCCCTTGGTCCCTGCAGCCCTGGAGGTAGAGCCTGCTGCCCACTTTTGCTAGTATCCGGGTGTCTCATCTGCCTCATTTGTTCCCATAACCCTGCCCACACCTCTAAACCCTGCCCCATCATACAGTCTCTTTCCTAGAACTCTCTGGGGTAAATTCCTTTTCCCACCAGGACCCTGGGTGATACAGCTAATGATAAGAGATCCCATTGAAAGAAGGCTATGTCAAATCCTACTGAAATCCAATACGTCCAGCCCAGAAGAGCTTGGGAAGCCTGGAGTTAGTGCAGGGCACAGATCAAGAGGATCTGTCTAGAAATGCGGTGGGACTAGTTAGCAGAAAGGAAGGAAGAAAGCAGGTCCCAAACAACCAGCTAGGAAACAGGGCAAGAGTCCCACCCAGGCATCAGAACCCTGGAGGAGGGAGGTCTTCAGTTTGCCAAGAAACCAGAAGGCTGGTCTGGCCTCACCCACAAGTGCCTCCCTGGGGGGCCTCCACCGGGAATCTCACCCTCAGACCCGGAGCTGCCGAGACTGGTGCCAAACCCTGCTGAAGAGCTGGGGAATGGTAACTGTCTGCTTTACTTCTATTGGTTTTGAGAAGGGCTAGGGCTGTGACTGGGTAGCCTGGTAGCTTCTTTCCAACAGCAAGGAGAGAGCTAGAATGGGAGGAGACTGGCATCTATTGGAACACAAGTGCCCTGAGAACTGTATCATCGACATGCATGCATCCCTCAAAGTGGCCAGTCATGGGGCTTGGCGTACAATGTTTGTTGAATACAAAATATTATCATCAAATAAATTCAGTGATAGGGAATTGACCCCTCAACTATGTTAGGTCTTCCCACTATAGGTCCCTCTGGTGCCCAGTTCTTCCACTCTCATCATTAGTTCTTATTCCCCTTGTGATGGAGAGGCCTGAGGTCAAATCCCAACTCCCCCTGTGTGACCTTGAGTGAGTCACTTAACCTCCCTGGGCTGTCTCACTTTCCCCATCACAGGGCTATGGTGAGGGTTAAATATGCTAATATTTACAAAACGCTTGGAAAAAAACCTGACCTATAATAAGCACTTCCTAAGTGTTAGTTAAATGAAATTTCTAGTTTACATCTGTCTCTCCCAATAGATCATTTTTTCCTTAAGCACAAGGTTGCTGTCTGTGTAAATTATTGCTGTATTCCCATTGCCAACCATACAGCCTGGCGGAGAATTATGCTGCATAAATTAATGTTTATTGAATGAATAAATGAAGAGTAACAGGCTCATCAGCAAAACTTTCTTCTCTGCTGTTAACAAGGCACTTCTGCCCAGGAAAGGGCACAGCAGAAGAGAAAGCAGGATAAATGATTCTCCAGCAGACTCGATAGGGGATTTGTCTAAGGGTCATGGGAGAGGCAGTTTCAAAACAGGTCACCCACATCCCATCGTGACATTTACTGAGCACCTAGTATTTACTGGGCCCTGAGCATATCGCAGTTGATGCACTGTATGCCAGACCTTTTACTAAAGATACAAAGGGGGCACTGTCCGAGCTTTTAACAATCTGGCTCAGAAACAAAATACAGGCATTAATAAAAAAAAAAGCAAGGTATAAAGAATAATAAATATTAGTTCCAGATATCCAGTTTGGGGGGTATGGCTCTATTTAGCATTAGAGAAATCAATTTTTATCTGGGATACATTCATGATGACAAGAACGGCTTCAATGACAAAGAAGAGGCTGTCCACTCTCTCCCTGCCCTGCCTGCTCCCTGCGCCCCGCCCTCCCTCTGTCCCTGGTCGAGGGGGACCGTCCATTATTCTTCACAGATGCAGCCACCCCACCCTTCATCGACCCTCATCTCCCAAGAATTTCCTCAGCTACTCCAGGACCTGACCACAGAATTCACTGTTCAACCCTGGGACTTAAAAGACCAGAGACAGAAATTTACTTTCTGGTGTGAAGACTGCTCTTTTCTCCTCCAAAATTGTGTTTTTTCCCATAAAAATAGGCTTGTCAGAGCTGCTCCAAGTGATCTAGTTCAAGTGCCAAGTAAAAATGTTTGGGTTGGGTCACCTGCTTTTCTTCTCTACGTTGATTAGACAGGTTGGAGAGACTGCTCCAAACACACTATTTGTCTAGCTCATTACATATTAATATTTCCAAAATAATAATAAAAAACAAAAGGCCAGTGACAGAATGGCAGAAGTGTCACACATCTACTCTCACACTCTGTCTCACTGGAGCAAACAGGAGGTATTATTTTAACCATCATGCTTCCAACTCATCTAGGAAAGAGGTCATCTTCGCTGGCTCAGGTCAGTTCCACAGCATTACTAAGTGGCAACTCAGTAGCAGGCACCGTGCTGGGCACGAGTGTCACAGAAGTTAATAAGCCACCATCTTCCATCATCAGGTTTCAGGTCTAACCAGGGCATTGCCGCTAACAGGGGACACAGCTCAATCTGCCATGCCTGAGAGATGACCATCCTCACCACAAGATTAAAAAGCAGAAATCACAGGCATGTCTTGGGCTCACCATTCTAAATATTCATGCTACTACTTATTGACAAAATGATTATGTGATTTATCTTGTTTCCTTTGAGCTTTGCTGCTAGGATCTTGGAACTGATTTTTACTGATCAGCTATATCCCTGGGGCAGAACTCATGGCATGTTTATTAGCATACTGTCTGCTTCCTCTTTCTTGGCCTTGACTCATATTCTAATGGGTGTACATTTTCCCTGGCCCTGGGTGTATATATTTTGTTTCTTGTTCACTATGCCTGGCATGTGTTTCAGTAACAAACTGCTGAATGAAGCAAGGCAGACGTGAGAACCTGCAATGCACCAAGCACTATGACATGCTTTCGGTACATTATGCTCAATCTTCACAAACCCCTACCAGCTCATTATAGGTCTCCTTATCTATAAGATAAGTCCCAGAGACGTAAAGGAACGTGTCCAAAGTCAAACAGCCTTTAGGTGACAGGATTCCAACATGAGCCTATCCAACTCCAAAGCCCAAAATGTTATCACTATTAAATAATAATAAGTAATAGGATTTATTTTAAATCATCAAATGAAACCAATGCTCATTTAAGAGCATTTTACAGAGTGGGTACAGTGGATGTATTTAATATCCTATTGAAGTGCTAATAAAATAAGTAACTGTCACAGAATTGCTGAGTCAGGAAATGAAGATGTGTCCCTGGCGTGGACCAGACCTCCACGGGGCCCTGGGGTTTTGCAGATGTGCCACACCAGCAGATTCCATCTTACCTGTGTGGTTTCCTGTGTGAGATTTCTTTAAGAAAAATTCCACTGCTTTCATACACTTTAAGCCACTGCCTTAGCCCACTAGAGCACGAATGTGGCGTCCCTAACAACTCACCGATCATCTTGAGCCTTCCGACTCTATCCATGAGAAGGGCAGATATGATGTTCCCAGGCAAGACAGACAGACTGCCAAGGAAGCTGACGAGGTAAATCAAGAAGTCGTTATCTTGCTCTAAGTCCATGTGGCAGCCCTCCTTCTGCTCCAGAAAGGTGACATTGATAAAATGACAGTTGATGAACTTATGCTGGTAGAGGTCTGCGGAGAGAAGGAAACGTTTGGTTCACATGAAATGGAGGGAGGCTGGGGAGATTTGGAGCAGAAACAGGGATAAAGTTATGCCCCTTCCTTGGGCAGGTGGCACCGCCCCCTGGCAATCAGACAGTCTCAAAATCCAGGTGACACATGGCCAGGTATGGATGAAGTGGGAAACCTTTAAAAATGTAACGACCTGTTCAAGTTCCTATAAGCAAGAGGAAATGAACATTCACTGAGGGACATGTTTAAGTACAGCATCTTTCAAGCCAGATAATAGTTCTGTTTGTATCAACAAGATGACATTGAGGGCCACCGTACCTGGGCTACTCCTCTGAGGCTACCCAGTGTATACGAGGGAAATGACCAGAGAATCGGATCCAGATTGAGCCAATCACTCCAAAGCCCATGCAGAAACTTGAACATGCTTCAGAATAAAAACCATTTGCTCCTTGGTTGTGGAGGAGGGACAGAGATGACTAAGTAGAGTACAGTGGATTTTTAGGGCAGTGAAAACACTCTGTATGATATTATGATGATGGCTCTTACCCATGTGTCCAAGCCCATAGAATGTACAACAGCAAGAATAAATCTTAGGGTTTCCCTGGTGGCACAGTGGTTAAGAATCTGCCTGCCAAGGCAGGGGACATGGGTTCGAGCCCTGGTCCGGGAAGATCCCACATGTCACGGAGCAACTAAGCGCATGTGCCACACCTACTGAGCTTGTGCTCTAGAGCCTGTGAGCCACAACTACTGAGCCCATGTGCCACAATTACTGAAGCCCACGTGCCTAGAGCCTGTGCTCCACAACAAAGAGAAGCCACCACAATGAGAAGCTTGCGCACCTCAACGAAGACTAGCCTCCACTCGCAGCAACTAGAGAAAGCTAGTTTGGGTGATGATGATGCATAGGTTCATTAATTACAACAAATGTACTGCTCTGGTGGGGGATGATGATAATGGGGGAGGCTATGGCATGGGAGCAGGCGGCATATGGAAATCCCTGTATCTTTCTTCCAATTTTGTTGTGAACCTAAAACTTCTCTAAAAAATTAAAGTCTTAAAAAATAATAATAACCATTTGCTTCAGAACCAGTTCCATGTTTTTTGATACCTTCTAACATCAGCTATTCTAGCCAAAAGGTCACTATATAGGCTCTCAGGAAACCTAGGTTTGGGAACTGGCTCTGTGGCTGACCCACTTGAACCTCCCTGAGCTTCTACCTATGAAGTTAGAGGAAAACACCTAATGATCTCCACTGCTTCCCAGCTCTGACATTTCATGACTGCAAGTGTTTGCAAAAGACCTCAATAGACATTTCTCCAAAGAAGATATACAGATTGCCAACAAACACACGAAAGGATGCTCAACATCACTAACCATTAGAGAAATGCAAATCAAAACCACAATGAGGTATCACCTCACACCAGTCAGAATGGCCATCATCAAAAAATCTATAAACAATAAACGCTGGAGAGGGTGTGGAGAAAAGGGAACCCTTTTGCACTGTTGGTGGGAATGTAAATTGATTACAGCCACTATGGATAACAGTATGGAGGTTCCTTAAAAAACTAAAAATTGAATTACCATATGGCCCAGCAATCCCACTCCTGGGCATATACCCAGAGAAAACCGTAATTCAAAAAGTGTCATGTACCACAATATTCATTGCAGCTCTATTTACAATAGCCAGGACATGGAAGCAACCTAAGTGTCCATCGACAGATGAATGGATAAAGATGTGGCACATATATACAATGGAATATTACTCGGCCATAAAAAGGAATGAAACTGGGTCATTTGTTGAGACGTGGATGGTTCTAGAGACTGTCATACAGAGTGAAGTAAGCTATAAAGAGAAAAACAAATATCGTATGTTAACGCACATATGTGGAATCTTAAAAAATGGTACAGATGAACTTATCTGTAGGGCAGGAATACAAATGTAGATGTAGAGGACAGACATGTGGACACAGGGGGGAAGGGGAGGGTGGGACAGATTGGGAGATTGCGTTTGACATAAATACACTACCATGTGTAAAATAGATAGCTAGCGGGAACCTGCTGTATAGCACAGGGAGCTCAGCTCAGTGCTCTGTGATGACCTAGATGGGGAGGAAGTTGGGGAGGGAGGTCCAGGAGGGAGGGGATATAGGTATACATACAGCTGATTCACTTCATTGTACAGTAGAAACTAACACAACATTGTAAAGCAATTTTACTCAAATAAAATAAAATAAAATAAAAAGAGTGTTCAAGCAAAGAGGCATCAATGAAACTTGAAAGAAGAAAATGAAAGATATGCCAAAGAGTAAATGTATAGAACTCACTAATATTTTTTTAAGTTCAGGCTAAACATAAATTAGGAAGATAAATCCCATAATTGACTATTTAAAGACCAAGGGATATTTAGAGACCAGATTTTGAACCTTTTGAGGCTGATATCATGGAGGAAAAAGATGTTCTTGCATAAACTGTGCCTTGGTGCCAATGCCAGGGAGAAAGCATTGATCTGGACATAATGCAAGTATCTCAGTGGAAAGCTCACAGACTTCAGAGCTAAACAAATTAAGAGATGAATCAAAGTTCCTCCAACTTGCTAGCTGTGGCCTTGGACAAGTTGCTTAAGTCCCTGTTTCCTTAGTTGTAAGCTGGGAATGATAGTACATTTCTTACTTGAGGCAATATTGGTGAAGCCCCTGGTAAAACTCAATTAGTTTCCTTATAACCCAACTCCACTTGGTATTAATTTATAATGAGAGCAGTAAAAATAATGAGGAGTGAGAGAGTGGTGGAATTTTGTGATTTTTTTTAATCATGGAAATCTGAAATGGTGTAATTTTAAAATATTCTTATCTCACTTCACGCACGAAGCTTGAAAAGATGCAGTTTTCCCTTTTCATTTATTATTGTGAGAACATATGTCTTGAATTTTGTTTCAAATTATGCTAGGTCTTCAAGAATGCACTCCAGGTATAAAATGCAGCCCTCCTGGAATGCTGTTATTTTCTTTTTTTTTTTTTTAAATATGGGTCATACTTTGTTCCTACCAAAGATCCTTAGCATATAGCATCAGTCTTGTTGAGATCAGAACACTTGTCCAGTACTTTTGTTTCCATTTTACATGTGATCAAACTGAGACACAGATAAACTACATGCCTTGGTAAAGGCTGTGCAACTTCTTTGTTGCACAAAGAAGCCCCGACGTGGGGCTGGAACCCATTTCTCCACATGAAGACTCAGCATGCATATCTGTGAATACTTTACTACTCCTAAAGCTTATGACTGAGCAGTTTGATTCTAGACAACAAGCCCGCCCTGTTCGTGCCCTTACCTGTGTTATAAAAGATGGTCGATTCAATGGTGCAGTTTTTGAAATAGGTATCAGTCGATGTAACATCTTCAAAATAGCACTCGTCAAATAAAGTGTCCTCAAAGAGTACATGTTTAAAGTACATCTTTGTGAACCTGTGGGAAAAAATTAGCCCCTGAATGATTCATCCAGGAAAAAAAGAAAAAAAAAGGAGACTTGAGACTCAGATGGAAAACACAGAAAGGCAGAAAAAAGGAGAACTGCAAACCCAAAGGTGCTGGAACGTTATTTTCAACCCAGACTAGTTCCCCATTTCTTCACTGTGTGTTTATAAATGGGGAGGGGCCTCAGGACAGTGGAAGCTGATGTCTAGTCCAGGTACACAGCCTGTGGTTCCCATATGCGGGTTCATGAACCTCCTAAATCAGAATCAAAGAAATGTGAAATAGTGTGAAATGAAAATGTTAATAACATCTCACTTTAGGAGTTTTAAAAACATGAATATCCCTCAGATGGTCTTAGAAGGTTTAAAGGCAGTAGATGTGTGAGGGCCTCAGAATCTTTGTTGAACCAAAAAAATGGGAAAATGGGCACTTTCATCCACATTGTTGGTAGGACATAATTGGTGCAGCCTCTTTGGAGAGCAGTTTTGCAAAATTTAAAATGTACAATCCCTTTGACCTAGGAATACCACCTCTAAAAATTCATCATACACATACTTACTCATGCATTCAAAGAGACACATTCACTGATCTTCACTGCAACACTGATGATAACAGCAATGGATTACTAGATAGATAGATAACAGATAGATAGATGATAGGTAGATAGATAGATGATAGATAGATAGATAGATAGATAGATACCATACAGTGGAATACCACATAGCCATTATAATTATTAGGTAGGTCTATATGTCTTAATATGGAACCATCTTCAAGATATATTGTTAACTGAAAAAATTAAATACAATATGGTGTTTATTGCATGTGACCATTCATGTAAGAAAGGATATGGCACATATGCCTGTAAGTGCATAGCATATACCTGGAGAGTGACACAAGACACTGGCAGATGTGGTTGGCCCTGAGGAAGTACAATGGGGGTTGGGCATGAGACAAACGTAATTTTTTTTTTTATATCAAGTGTACATAATACTTTTTTACTTAAAAATAAAACAGTCAATAAGAGGTAAAACCCCTAGATGATTATGAACTGCAGCCACATTTAGGAGTTGCTGCAAGACTCCAACTCCTACATAAACTTAAAAGAAAAGAACAATATTACATTTAAAAACATATACTGACATATATTAACATCATCCTCTATTGGTTATATTTACCAAGCTTGGTTAAACTTTTAAGCAAGAAACTTTTGGCTATGTCTTCATTTATGAAGGATTACAACCCGTTCAATCATCTGTCTATTCATTTATTTAGATATTCAGTCTTCAGCAAACACTTACATAGCTTTAGGTGTTATGAGTACAGAGAGGAAAGACATGGTCCCTGCCCTCAAATCTAATGGGAAAAAAATAAGCAAAGAGACAACTACAAGTCAGTGAGAATCACAGTGACAAAGGTAGCACAGGGTGCTGAGGGTCATTGTTCCTCTTTACAGCCACCAGATCATTCAATCCATGACCACATGCAACGCACAGTGCCCCTTACCCTTTACGGTCTGTTGTGTTCTGCTGAGAACGCTAACCTAGAGCCACCTCTCATTAGCTTCTGCAAAAAGACCTCCCACCCAATAAGAAAGCCTGGGCCAGTGCTTCTCAAAGAGAAGTCCCCAGACCCCTTGCATCAGAATAAAATGGGAGGTTACTGTGAAAGATACAGTTTTCTACATTCCATCCTGGACCTCTTAAACTATGATCACCAGAGGAAGATGCCAGATTATTATACTTTAGAAAATGTGAGAGTCACTGATCTAGGAAGCCAAACGGTTTTCAACAATTTTTCTTACGGTTAAATTTGCTGCAGACTTTTAAACAGCAGCCTCCAAAAGTTATCACTGGGCTCTCCATATTTCCATGGAAAAACTAATCAGTAAGCCTTTGTTACAGGAAGATGGCTCTGATGTCAAAATTAATATCATTTGTATGCTGAATGTATTTATTCAGGAAAGCTATTCCTGGAGACTGTCTCAGGTCTTTGCCCTTCTTAATATATCCTTCTCTTTAATACAGTAATAGGCTGGTGATGTGGCCTTCGGTGGTATTTTAATGTTCTACCAAAAGTGGGTGAGAAAGCAGAGCCATAAATCATAATAGGTCTGACACAGACAGACCTTAAAATGTATCTCCAAGTAAGTTATAAAAAGCCAAAATTATAAAAGAAGAGATAAAAGGAGAAAGGGCCACGACATATTTTATGAGTCTTTTATATAAATCATCTCCTCCAATCTCTAATTTACATACTAAACTGGTCCAAGATTCTTCATTCAGGAGATTTCAAAGGCTGAAAGAAAAGTTAACAAAAGTATCTTGTGGAACTTTTCCTTTAAGGAAGCAGAAGCTATTGGCGAAAGAAATAAAAGAGTGGACTTAGGACATGGCCATCTTATATCTCCAAACGGTTGAAATATTATTTCATGGAGAAGCAGATTTATAGGATGGGAAATACTGGTGCTAATGTCAACCAAACAGACTCTCTAAGGACATATGTTCTTGTGCCTCAGAATATAAGATTGATACCAAAGTTGAACAAGAACAGTATAAGGGAAATATACACCAATCTCATGTAGATGCAAAAATCCTAAATAGAACATTAGTTCTATGGGTTTTAGCAAACATATGATGAGATGTATCCATCGTTATGGTCTCATGCAGACTATTTTCACTGCCCTAAAAATCCTCTATGCTCTGCTTATTTATCCATCCCTCTCCCCTAACCTCTGACAGCACTGATCTTCATAGTTTTGCCTTTTCCAGAATGTCATATAGTTGAAATTATACAGATGTAGCCTTTTTTAGAGGGGCTTCTTTCACTTAGGAATGTGCATTTCAGGTTCCTCAATGTCTTTTTATGACTTCATAGCTTACTTCTTTGGCCCCGAATAATACTCCATGGTCAGTATGTACCACAGTTTATTTATCCATTCACCTACTCAAGGACATCTTGGATCATCACTGGATAATATGGTAGTTCTGGCAGAGGGTATATGGGAAATCTCTGTGTCTTCCTCTCAACTTTGCTGTGAACCTAAACTGTTCTAAAAATAGTCTTAACAAAATAACAAGTTGAAACCCAATTTGAAATATTTGAACAAGTTTTTTGTAAAAAATAAAGGACATGTACGTTGCCTCCAAGTTTTGGCAATTATGAATAAAACTGCTATAAACATCTAAACAAACAGAAAAACTAAAACAAAAAATTAGTAAATCAAATTTGTCAATGTATTGATTGCCATTTTAAAAAATTCACACTGGGGGCTTCCCTGGTGGTGCAGTGGTTAAGAATCTGCCTGCCAATGCAAGGGACACGGGTTTGAGCCCTGGTCTGGAAAGATCCCACATGCTGCGGAGGAACTAGGCCCGTGAGCCACAACTACTGAGCCTGCACGTCTGTAGCCTGTGCTCCGCAACAAGGGAGGCCGCAACAGTGAGAGGCCCGCACACCGCGATGAAGAGTGGCCCCCGCTCGCTGCAACTAGAGAAAGCCCTCGCACAGAAACGAAGACCCAACACACCCAAAAGTAAATAAATAAATAAATAAATTTATTAAAAAAAAAATCACACTGAATGATTAAGATATATCCCAGGAATCAAGTATGGTTGAATACTGAAAAAAATATTATTTTAATATATCATATTAATAGGTCCAAGGAGAAAACAATATGATTATCATAATAGATATAGAAAAATGTTTGACAGATTCAATACACTTTCATGATAAAAACTCTCAGCATACTTAAAACAAAAAAGAATTTCCTTAACTTTATAAAGGAGGCCAATCAAAAACATACAGCAAATATCATACTTAAAAGGAAGACACCCAAAATGCCCCCACTGAAGTCAGGATACCCATTAGCATGGCTTCTATCCATCACCAAACCGGATGTCATAATCAGCACAATATTGTACATCAGCTACACCTCAATTAAAAATATTTAAAATAAAAGAAGTAAACAGCCTAAAAGTAACAAAACTAGTTGAAACATTTATAGTATGAGAATTATACATTCACATCTATAACCTAGTATGATATTTACCTAAAATTTAAAGCACACAAAAGAATGCTGTACAATGTTTACAGATACATAAATATATTGGAAAAGTATAAAAACCCACATGAATGTAAAACACCAAATTTATGACCATGGTGATCATCACTCCTCAGGAGGAAGAAGAATAGCATCAAGAAGGGCAACTGAGGGCTTCCCTGGTGGCGCGGTGGTTGAGAGTCCGCCTGCCGATGCAGGGAACAGGGGTTCGTGCCCTGGTCCGGGAAGAGCCCACATGCCGCAGAGCGGCTGGGCCCGTGAGCCATGGCCACTGAGCTTGCGCGTCCAGAGCCTGTGCTCCGCAACAGGAGAGACCACAACAGTGAGAGGCCCGTGTACCGCAAAAAAAAAAAAAAAAAAAAAAAAAAAGAAGGGCAACTGAGTGAGTGATGTTTAATCTATATTAAAATCTGAAGTCAATGTAGCATGGTTTATGATTTTACAAAGCTAGGTGCTCTGAATAGGGTTGTTGGTGTTATTCTAAAAAAAAAAAAAAAAAAAAAAGGGCAACTGAGTGAGTGGTGTTTAATCTATATTAAAATCTGAAGTCAATGTAGCATGGTTTATGATTTTACAAAGCTAGGTGCTCTGAATAGGGTTGTTGGTGTTATTCTCTATTCTCCACATATTTGATATATTTCATGATGGAATAAAAAGGAAAAGAAAGGAGACAAAACAATTGTTATGGGCAGGTGATAGGCTGGTATAACAATAACAAGGGGAAACTATTAGAACTAATAAAAGAGCTCAGTTAGAGACAAAACAAACATCCCCAAATCAACAGGATTTCTATTGATCTGCAATCACCTGGGTAAATGTCTGATGGAGGAACAGCAATCCCATTTTCAGTAGCCAATTAGTTGTAAAATATTCAGGAAGAGGCTCTGTAAGAACTATGCAGGACCTAGATTAAATTACAAAATTTTGCTGAGATATTTTATTAACTCTGAAGCCTGATGGACATTACATATCAATATTATGACTTTCATATGTGGAATCAGAGGCTTAAACAGGTCGGTCAGAGGTGGCTCAGCTATTTACTGACCCATCAAGGCTTGGAACCCAAGTCCCTCAAGCCTTGGCTACTTCCTCAGACCTGAAGCCAAAAGGTACATTTAACACATTTCCCACCCTTGCCAGCTTTGCAGAGATTTACTGTCCTGAAACACACCCACTGCAGATGAAGAAAATTCCTACTGATGCCCCACTAAAAAATGCTTTTAACAGTGTGAGTAGCATTTCACTGTGATGTGTGAAATCAACCTTCTCTCTTCTAGATATGCATTTGCTTTCTTTCTCTCTGCTCTCCCTGCTAAAAGTAATCTTCCCCCATGTGTGACAGTCAATAAAGTAAATAATTTTATTTAAATTTTTAATCAGCAAAGTGTGGATAAAGTCTAAGGGGGAATACTGGTAAGAATGGGGACAATGCCCCATCCAAGCTAACGAACTTAAAGAATTTAGCTCCAAAGAGGCTCAAGGTTTCCAAAGGTGGCATGTTTTCTAGTTTATGACCAGCAGATGGCAGCATAACTCAAGAAAAGAAACCAGGTTCAATTCCTCAGATTGGTTTCAAAAGTTCCTAATCTTTTTCCAAGGAGAAAAACACCATTTTTATCCAAATAAATTGCTGGGGCACAAATTATGAGCTTCAAGTGACAGTGGTATCCCCTGGTTAAAAAATTGAATGGCATATATATGACAAGTTAAAATGAACTCACTTCAACTTCTGGAGGAATTTATACTTTAATAATCACACAAAAACATTTGTATGCATTTGAAACACAGAAACATGGTAGAACATCTGTGTGTGCAGAATATTTACATCCACTCCCAGACAATCATTGGCCTGCTTATGCATTCGCAGACCCTTAACAATAACTCTTGTTCCCTGGGGTCCTGGTTCCACAGATGAGGCCACCGCCTTCCTCAAGCTTTAAGCTTTGGGAGGCTCAGATCTTTTAAAAGGACAGAGTGGAGCAGAAGTTCCCATTTTTTGTGTAGCTAAGTCTTAGAACTCGAAAACGTACTTTTAAAAATCATAACAGCTCTGGCATTGCAATTAACTTTTTAATGCAGAAAGCACCGTGTAAAACAGGGCCTTTGTGGGAATGCAGAGTTTCCCAGTGAGACGGTATTTGTAGTTGTCAAGCATACGGGATTGGAGTCTGAATGCATGAATTGGTGAGAGATATCTGTAATCTATTTACGTTAGCTGTGTGATTTGGGCAAGCAACTCAACCTTTCTAAGCTTGCTTCCCAACCTGTAAAAGAGAAAGCACACTTCTTGCCTCCTGGAGTTTTTGTGAGGATTAAATGAGATAATCTCTGAAAGGCACTTAAGGAAGCACCTGGCACACAGAAGTGTCATTACCATCGTTATTATTACTAACACCACAATAGCGTATCACTGAACATTGGAAACTTCATAGATAAGGTCTCTTTTAGTGAATTCGTCTCTGCAGGGAATAACAACATATCATGGGTGACATCTAGCCATCCATAATGTCCCTTAGTTTTCAACATTTCCAAAGCGTTCTAATAAAGAAGGGCAACATTTCTTCCTTGGCAATGCCAACGCAAGATCTCTGGGCTTATACTGAAGAGCCCTGACGGTGAGAAATACTGGGGAGAGTTGCCATCCACCAACCACTAGCCTTCGAGCTGCCATCACTGGAGTGGCCACTCTCAGCAGATTCCAGGAACCGAAGTGTCCCCAAAGAGAGCATGTGCATACATGGGCACGTGAAGGTGGAGATGTTTGTGACTGAGCCTCGGCATTTTAAAAAATCATCTGAAAATCTGAATTCCATGTCCACAGATAGACGGTCCTAACTTTCCTGCCCCAAAGGCCTTATATTTGTAGAAATAACATTCCCCTTTTCGTGTCACACTTTCTTTCTCATCCTAAATAACAGTGAACATTTGCTATGGTCTGTCCAGTAAGAACATATGGACTAGACTGCCCAAGCCACCTTCCTTGGACTTCACCCAGACATACACTTCTTTCTCACAGTCACAGGCATGGCCACTTAGACACACAGGTGGGTGCAGGCTGGGGAAGTAGAACCGAGTCGGAGGAGAAAATTCATGGTGATAATTCTTGCACAGACACATTAACCTGGGGGCAGCTTATACCACTGACACTGGGCTGTGGTGTTTCTGGTGTATCATGCCCTTGCCTGACCCAGTGAACTTGCTAAGGATAATTCAAGAAGGGAAACAGCAGAGGTGAAAATGCTCAGTTTAGTGGAGCATGTGGCCTGGAGGAAATTCTGTCCTGCCCTGACCCATTTGGGGCCTTCAGAGGGCAACCTCAAAGAGGTGTTCTGAAAGCCCAACAGGCCGGACTATCCATCTCAGTGTCCCAGGAGTAGGAAGAGAAGGAGTCAAACAGATTGAGGAGGTTGTGGGCAGGACTCTTCTAACACTCCACTCATTTTTGCCCCAAAGCACAACATTCTTGATGACAATGGGCCATGCCAATCAACGCTTGGAGATAACGTTAGGCGAAAGAATAACATAAGATAGTGTTATATTGGCCTCTGGATTTGCTTCTGAAGAAGCATCCAGAATCAAAGAAAAAGCTCAACAGCCAGGCTGTGAGTTGGTGCAGGACCTCACTGGTGAGAGCTCTGGGACCTCTCTCCAGGCAGGCATCACTGAGGGGCTCTCTGTGCATCACCATTAAAGATGAGAGGTCTCAGGAGAGATCATTTGGTTGACCCTCCTTGGATGAATCAACCTTAGCCAGGATGACAGGGGACGGCACAGTATAGACAGAGCCACCAGGAGCACTGTCGAGTCTCTGGCAGCCATGGTAAGCTGTGATGCTCCACCAGCCTTGGAGCTCAATCCTCGCCATATTGAATTCTTATCTTCCCAGTGGCTCTCTCCCCAAGACAGTCCCCACACACATCCCCCTTGATCTGAGGAAAGCCCATGGTCTCCCACTTACTTGTCATTCACAAGTTTCCCACGTTGGTGAATCTGATTTTCCATTGTGAAGTTGATTGTAACACCATACACATGCTCATCATGGAATACCTTCATTTTGGACTTGTATGCTTCATCTTGAAAATACCGGATCATATCAGGGAACCAAACTGTCAGTCCATAGTAACTGTAATACAGAAGACAGAATATTTGAGCAGCAACACCATCAGAGACTGCATTCAGGACTTGATGTAAATCAAGCCAATTTTAAATGTATCAGTATGGTTCACTAGAAATATCTAATAATATAACTCATCATATTAATAGATCTAAGGGAAAAAAATCATGACTACATCCATAGGTGCCAAAAAGGTATTTGATAAAAAACGACATTAATTCCCGATAAAAACATTAGATTAGGAATTCATGGATGCTTCCTTAGCATGTAAAAATATATATATCTCAGCTCAAAAGTCAGGATCTTTCTTAATGAGGAAACACTGCAGTCATTACCACTAACATAAGAAACAAGACCAGGATACGCATTATCAGCACTACCGTTTAACACTATGTTGCAGGTCATAGCTAACTCAGCTACTCATGAGAAAGAACATAGGAATATAAAGTTGCAAAGCAAGAGGTAAAACTATCTGGAGGGCAGACAGCAGAGGCAAGAAGAACTACAATCCTACAGACTGTGGAACAAAAACTACATTCACAGAAAGATAGACAAGATGAAAAGGCAGAGGGCTATGTACCAAAAGAAGGAACAAGATAAAACCCCAGAAAAACAACTAAATGAAATGGAGATAGGCAATCTTCCAGAAAAAGAATTCACAATAATGATAGTAAAGATGATCCAAGACCTCAGAAAAAGAATGGAGGCAGAGATCAAGAAGATGTAAGAAACGTTTAACAAAGACTTAGAAGAATTAAAGAACAAACAGAGATGAAAAGTACAATAACTGAAATGAAAAATATGCTAGAAGGAATCAATAGCAGAATGACTGAGGCATAAGAACGGATAAGTGACCTGGAAGACAGAATGGTGGAATTCACTGCTGTGAAAGAGAATAAAGAAAAAAGAATGAAAAGAAATGAAGACAGCCTAAGAGACCTCTGGGACAACATTAAATACAACAACATTCGCATTATAGGGGTCCCAGAGGGAGAAGAGAGAGAGAAAGGACCAGAGAAAATATTTGAAGAGATTATATTTGAAAACCTCCCTAACATGGGAAAAGAAATAGCCACCCAAGTCCAGGAAGTACAAAGAGTCCCATACAGGAGAAACCCAAGGAGAAACACACTGAGACACATAGTAATCAAATTGGCAAAAATTAAAGACAAAGAAAAAATATTGAAAGCACCAAGGGAAAAACGACAAATAACATACAAGGGAACTCCCATAAGGTTAACAGCTGATTCCTCAGGAGAAACTCTACAAGCCAGAAGGGAGTGGCATGATATACTTAAAGTGATGAAAGGGAAGAAACTACAACCAAGATTACTCTACCCAGCAAGGATCTCATTCAGATTTGATGGAGAAATCAAAAGCTTTACAGACAAGCAAAAGCTAAGAGAATTCAGCACCACCAAACCAGCTTTAAGACAAATGCTAAAGGAACTTCTCTAAGTGGCAAACACAAGAGAAGAAAAGGACCTACAAAAACAAACCCAAAACAATTAAGAAAATGGTCATAGGAAAATACATATCGATAATTACCTTAAACATGAATGGAGTAAATGCTCCAACCAAAAGACACAGGCTTGCTGAATGGATACAAAAACAAGACCCATCTATATGCTGTCTACAAGAGACCCAATTCAGACCTAGGGACACATACAGACTGAAAGTGAGGGGATGGAAAAAGATATTCCATGCAAATGGAAATCAAAAGAAAGCTGGAGTAGCAATACTCATATCAGATAAAATAGACTTTAAAATAAAGAATGTTACAAGAGACAAGGAAGGACAATACGTAATGATCAACGGATCAATCCAAGAAGAAGACATAACAGTTATAAGTATATATGCACTGAACATAGGAGCACCTCAATACATAAGGCAACTGCTAACAGCTATAAAACAGGAAATTGACAATAACACAATAATAGTGGGAGACTTTAACACCTCACTTACACCAATGGACAGATCATCCAAAATGAAAATAAATAAGGAAACAGAAGCCTTAAATGACACAATACACCAGATAGATTTAATTGATATTTATAGGACATTCCATCCCAAAACATCAGATTACACTTTCTTCTCAAATGCACATGGAACATTCTCCAGGATAGATCACATCTTGGGTCACAAGTCAAGCCACAGTAAATAAAGAAAACTGAAATCATATCAAGCATCTGATTAGAAATCAATTACAGGGAAAAGAATGTAAAAAACACAAACACATGGAGGCTAAACAATACATTACTAAATAATCAAGAGATCCCTGATAAAATCAAAGAGGAAATCAAAAACTACCTAGAGACACATGACAATGAAAACATGACGGTCCAAAACCTATGGGATGCGGAGGGCAGACAGCAGAAGCAAGAAGAGCTACAATCGTGTAGCCTGTGGAACAAAAACCACATTCAAAGAAAGACAGACAAGATGAAAAGGGAAGGAAGGTAGACAAGATGAAGTGGGAATTTTATAGCTATACAAGCCTACCTCAAGAAGCAAGAAAAATCTCAAATAAACAATCTAACCTTACACCTAAAGAAACTAGAGAAAGGAGAACAAACAAAACCCAAAGTTAGCAGAAGGAAAGAAATCATAAAGATCAGAGCAGAAATAAATGAAATAGAAACAAAGAAAACAATAGCAGAGATCAATAAAACTAAAAGCTGGTTCTTTGAAAAGGTAAACAAAATTGATAAACCATTAGCCAGACTCATCAAGAGACAGAGGGAGAGGACTCAAATCAATAAAATTAGAAATAAAAAAGGAGAAGTTACAATGGATGCCGCAGAAATACAAAGCATCCTAAGAGACTACTACAAGCAACTCTATGCCAATAAAATGGGCAACCAGGAAGAAATGGACAAATTCTTAGACAGGTATAAACTTCCAAGACTGAACCAGGAAGAAACAGAAAATATGAACAGACCAATCACAAATAATGAAATTGAAACTGTGATTAAAAATTTTCCAACAAACAAAAGTCCGGGACCAGATGGCTGCACAGGCAAATTCTATCAAACATTTAGACAAGAGCTAACACCCATCCTTCTCAAACTCTTCCCAAAAATTGAGGATGAAGGGACACTCCAAAACTCATTCTATATGTCCACCATCACCCTGATACCAAAAGCAGACAAATATACTACAAAAAAAGAAAATTACAGACCAATATCACTGATGAATATAGATGCAAAAATCCTCAACAAAATACTAGCAAACAGAATCCAAAAACACATTAAAAGGATCATACACCATGATCAAGTGGGATTTATCCCAGGGATGCAAGGATTCTTCAATATACGTATATCAATCAATGTGATATACCATATTAACAAATTGAAGGATAAAAACCATATGGTCATCTGAATAGATGCAGAAAAAGCTTTTGACAAAATTCAACACCCGTTTGTGATAAAAACTCTCCAGAAAGTGGGCATAGAGGGAACCTACCTCAACATGATAAAGGCCATATACGACAAACCCACAGCAAACATCATTCTCAATGGTGAAAAACTGAAAGCATTTCCACTAAGATCAGGAACAAGACAAGGATGTCCACTCTCACCACTATTATTCAACATAGTTTTGGAAGTCCTAGCCACGTTAATCAGAGAAGAAAAAGAAATAAAAGGAATGCAAACTGGAAATGAAGAAGTAAAGCTGTCACTGTTTGCAGATGACATGATACTATACATAGAGAATCCTAAAGATGCCACCAGAAAACTACTAGAGCTAATCAGTGAATTTGGTAAAGTTGCAGGATACAAAATTAATGCACAGAAATCTCTTGCATTCCTATACACTAATGATGAAAAATCTGAAAGAGAAATTAAGGAATCACTCCCATTTACCACTGCAACAAAAAGAATAAAATACCTAGGAATAAACCTACCTAAGGAGACAAAAGGCCTCTATGCAGGAAACTATAAGACACTGATGAAAGAAATTAAAGATGATGCCAACAGATGGAGAGATATACCATGTTCTTGGATTGGAAGAATCAATATTGTGAAAATGACTATACTGCCCAAAGCAATCTACAGATTCACTGCAATCCCTATCAAATTACCAATGGCATTTTTTACAGAACTGGAACAAAAAATCTTAAAATTTGTATGGAGACACAAAAGACCCCGAGTAGCCAAAGCAGTCTTGAGGGAAAAAAACAGCTGGAGGAATCAGACTCCCTGACTTCAGACTATACTACAAAGCTACAGTAATCAATACAATATGGTACTGGCACAAAACAGAAACATAGATCAATGGAACAAGATAGAAAGCCCAGAGATAAACCCACGCACCTATGGTCAACTAATCTATGACAATGGAGGCAAGGATATACAATGGAGAAAAGACAGTCTCATCAATAAGTTGTGCTGGGAAAACTGGACAGCTACACGTAAAAGAATGAAATTAGAACACTCCCTAACACCATACACAAAAATAAACTCAAAATGGATTAGAGACCTAAATGTAAGACCAGACACTATAAAACTCTTAGAAGAAAACATAGGAGGAACACTCTTTGACATAACTCATAGCAAGATCTTTTTTGATCCACCTCCTAGAGTAATGGAAATAAAACCAAAAATAAACAAATGGGACCTAATGAAACTTAAAAGCTTTTGCACAGCAAAGGAAACCATAAGCAAGATGAAAAGACAACCCTCAGGATGGGAGAAAATATTTGCAAATGAATCATTGGACTAAGGATTAATCTCCAAAATATATAAACAGCTCATGCAGCTCAATATTAAAAAAACAAACAACCCAATACAAAAATGGGAAGAAGACTTAAATAGACATACAGATGGCCGAGAAGCACACAAAAAGCTGCTCAACATCACTAATTATTAAAGAAATACAAATCAAAACTACAATGAGGTATCACCTCACACCAGCTAGAATGGGCATCATCAGAAAATCTACAAACAATAAATGCTGGAGAGGTTGTGAAGAAAAGGGAACCCTCTTGCACTGTTAGTGGGAATGTA